TGACGGGCGGTATTGGTAAAATTTCTTTACCCAAATAAAAATTGGGAAAACCGTGAAAAGATCTATTATCATACAGTACGTCTGCATGATCATTTAACAATTATTCGCCGAAGGCGAGGTGATAATCACCGAGCTTGAGGCGAATAATTGTTTTAGTATTTTTACACAAGTCTTTTGCGTTTTTTGGGACTGAATTTAGTTTAATTTCGCTTATTTCTTTTTCAGTAGCTTCCACAAAACGGCTGGCCGCCATTTTGCAAATTTCGGTTTTGTTATATTCACCTGTATGTGAATATAATATATATCACCTGTAGGTGAATATAACAGCTTTTAAGCGTCAAATTTGACCAATCAACTCGTAGGATTTGTTCTATTCACTTGTGCAAAAATACTAAAAACATACACACAAACCAAAGCCGAGAGAGACATCCTATCGAGTGATTTGATTCCAAGGTATTTTCGGTGTTTGTTTAAAACATGGTATTTTCGATTTGGCATACTGTATAACAACATAGGAATCTTATACTGTAAGTTAAATCCTTTCTTTAGAAAACAATAATTGAAGATGTTAATGATGTAGTTCTTCACTCGAAAAACATTAAATTTCCTGGTTATTTTAACCTTGAAAACAAACATCTTAAACAAGTTATAACATTTACTCCATATTAGTATATGTATTAGTCATAAAACTTAAATGATTATGATGAAAATTTAATATATAATCCCATTTTATATTTATATATAATAGTATTAATAGACATTCATTCTGAGTTGATTCTGCCAAATATGCAAGGATGATGCCATTTCAGTGTATATATATATATATATATATATATATATATATATATATATATATATATATATATATATATATATATATATATATATATATATATATATATATATTAAATTATAATTTTTACAAAATTATACAGTGTTCTCCGGATTGTAATTATTACAAATCTTCAAATCTATTAAATATATATATATATATATATATATATATATATATATATATATATATATATATATATATATATATATATATATATTTTAAATGTTCTATATAATATATAATCTATACACTAAATAGTCTATTTTTACTAAAACTGGACAATGCCAATGTCAAAATGTTCAATAAATTAAGTTTAATTACGTAAACTGTAAAACTTAAACACCTATTTGTTCCTTCCTTCTCGCATTTGCATGGCGACATGGGCGTACCGGAAGGAAAAAATTAGGGGGGCTGAAACAAATTTGCCCGACTTTTCCGGATTGTGCCCGACTAGTACCTAAAAACTTTTTCGCCAAAAAAATTTCGGTCAGTGTACCATTTTAGGGGTCAAAAAATTTTTCCGGACATACCTAAATTTTTTGGAACATCACACAAATTTTCCAAACATCACAAAATTGACCACAAAATTGACTGAATTTTCGACTAAATTGACTGAATTTGTCCCATTTATTTTTATTACAAACCAAAATTGCCCGACTGTTGATCGAATATTGCCCGACTGCCCAAAAAACTGGGGGGGGGGCTACCGCACCCCCCCTCCCCGACCCCCCGCCCGGTACGCCTATGAATGGCGAATCGGTGGATCAGCTCGTTCTTGTCAACAACTTTCGGTTCTTTATTTTCGATGGAAAGTATCGCTAAGCCTGAAAGCCTTTCTTGGGAAATTTTAGACCTGAGATATGTCTTTATCAGCTTCAGTTTAGAGAAAGAGCGTTCTGCTGTTGCAACTGTAACAGGAATCGTTGCAAATAGGATGAGGAGTTTATACACTTGCGAGAAAGAGGAACTGACACGGCTTTCAAGCATTAAACGAATTATATCCGTAACAGATTGTCGCTCTGTGATTTCCTTTCTGAATTCGCTGACAAAAGATCGAAATTCAGACACAAGTTCTTCTGTAAATTCAGTTGGATAGTCTTCTACAATTGCTTCTGGAACAGTTTCAAGCTGAGGTGACTTTAACTGAGACATGTTTTGTGGATGAATGCAACTGAATAGACTGGTGACCATTTTCTGACCTTCAAACCGTTGTTTGAGTTGCACAATGGCATTGTCAACCGTTTGTAAAATACGTTGACTTTGAAAGCTTCTTCAGGATCAGTTAATCTTTGATGAGTAGAAAGCTCATCATAAAACCGTTTTGTTTTGCGATTCCTCTTCTTCTCAAACGTTACAGATGAACTCCAGAACTGGGCTAATGCTGTCGCAGTTAAAAGAATTGAGTTCCAAGAACTTCTTAAGATCACGAGTTCCGACAATGCACAGTTTAAAAGCCTTGCTTCGTCAATCAATCTTTTGCGACAGCAACTCTTTTGAAGCGCTGTTGATTGCTCGCAAAACTCTCTCCCACATAACGATAAATATAACAAATTCGAGTTTATTATAACTATTTTGTTTTTCAATTGTTTTACATCTTCTCTTTCTGCTTTATTAGTAGATGTTAAAGACAACCGTGTTAATACTCTCATGATATGTGGATACCTGTCACGAACAGCCCGTACAGCATTAATTCGCGAACTCCATCGCGTTGTACATAATTTCTTGAGCGTAAGAGATCATTTTTCAGCTTCAAGACCGAGTTCTCTCCATCTGTTTAACGAAGGTGCGAAAAAGCTAAATAGTTCCCTTAATAGTCCAAAGAAATTCTCATTTTCTACAACTGAATTGACAGCATCGTTGATTACCAGGTTCAAATTATGGCTGGCGCATTGAACGAAAGGAACTGGGGCAGTAACCATACTTTTAATCAACGTTTGCACGCCAGCATGAATACCACTCTAATCGCTTGCGCCGTCATACCCTTGTCCACGTATTTTTGAAAAGTTAATACAAAGACTTTGCAGAA